GCTTTGCTCTGGGCTTGCTGGAAATGGAACTCTGTGCTGCTCCCACTCAGCAAGTTGAATCCAGAGTCTGCTGAATGAGCCTGCCATGCTCACCCAAAACTTCCCTACCTCGCGAGGCTTTTCTCAGATCTTCTCTCCAAAAGCTGAGTGCCCACACACTGTCCTCCCGGCTGGGGATCCCGGTCCCCCTCAGGTTGGAGCAGCAAAGAGCTCTATCCCGGATGAGCCCCCTTTAAATGTAGTAGGAAGACCCCTACTCAGGCAGGCAAGCCCACCTAGTCGTCCGGAGTGACAGAGCCCACCGCAACAAAGTTGTTAATAAAGAAGCAACTTTATTGAGAAGGTTCCTACACTGACCGGCCAGGGCTGCAGCACAGGCTCGGGAGCTGATACTGCGACCGTGAGGCTGATTTTTGCACGCACATTTCAATTTCATTTACTGAATTAAAACCCAGAATAAAGAGTCCTTCTGTTTTATTGTCTTAGCTCCTGACAGTTTACATTTTGCTCATGCCTCTCCACTGTGGGTGGTGGAATCCAGGCTGGAATTCACAGTTGATGTGGTAGGAAGAGAACAGAAGGCTTTGGGGTCAGAGTTGGCCACGTGTTTCCATCAGATTGCAGTCTGCTGCTGGGAAGTGTTTCTTCGGTGTGGGCATGATGCGCCCTGGCATTAATAGGCATTGAGGTCTACACTGAGGTGTTCAGGCTTTGCCCACTTTATTGGGCCAGAGCGGCGTTTCTCAGGATTCCCTTATCCAAAGTCACCTCTGTCTCCCTGGGACTTGGAAGGCAGAAGGGGAACAGTAGCTACTAGGCTCGGAAGGCACAGGTGACCCAGTCCAGTGCAGCTCACACCTTGTCCCCTCGATCACCTGGGGACAAGTCAGTAGCTGCTCTACCATCCTCTGAGTCTGCATCCACTCAGTTACTATGGTGAGCTCGGGTTTCTGATAAAACCCTCTCTGGTTGGTAATCCTTCCAAGCAGGGTTCTGCTACATGAACCACAGTGCCATGTGCAGCTATTTACAAGTGGTTAACTGGAGATAAGAAGCTCACTGATTTTTTTCTGTCGGGGCAGGCTTTGAACCATGATTCTCAGATCTCATCCTCCTGAGTAGCTAGCATGACAGGTGTGAGCCACGGGCACCCAGCTTGGGTGTTTTCTTCTGCTAAAATGGGGTAACATTGTCAGTAATTATTTCAGACAAAGCAGCAAATGTGTGACTAGAGCTCCAACAATTTCTAAAACCTGGGGTTGGCTGTGGGGTTTTGAAAACGGAGAGGGAGTGGGCTTTTCAGCCGTGTTCTCCACCAGCGCTCCATGAGGCTCCCAGCTCGGTTACCCATCTGGCTTCTGCAAGCATCTGTCTTCTTTAAATGGAATTACGTGGTAATTATTTTCGTGCCAATACTGGGATTTGAACCTAGGCCCTGTTGAACATTGTCTTTTCACTTGTTTTTACTCAAGGCTACCACTCTAGCACTTTCAGCCTTTTCCTGATAATTGGAGATCAAAGTCTTATGGACTTTCCTGCCTGGGCTGGCTTCAAACTGTGATCCTCAGGTCTCAGCTTCCTGATTTCCTAGGATGATAGGCAAGATACACCAGTGCCACTCTATTAATATGATGGTGAAGACAGTCACCCAGGTCAAATATTCATTACCATAAAAATATGTACATTGGAAACAGACATTTATAGCAAATATCAAATTGGTTCCGTGTTATCTTGCTCATGAGTCTAATGTCCCAGAAAACGTCTCTCTCTCTTTTTTTTTTTTTGCCGTTGTTGTTTGATTGCTTTTATTTTGCTTTTGGTTTATGCATTTAGGCAGGAAATAGAGACATTAAAACACAACGAAAGCCAGGCACCACTGGCTCGTGTCTGTAATCCTAGCTACTCAGGAGGCTGAGATCTGAGGATCGTGGTTCAAAGCCAGCCCGGGCAGGAAAGTCCATGAGACTCTGATCTCCAATTAACTATCAGAAAACAGGAAGTGGTGCTGTAGAGCACTCATCTTGAGCTGAAGAGGCTCAGTGAATGCACCCAGACCCGGAGTTCAAGCCCCATGACCAACCAACCAACCAACCAACCAAGCAGTGAAGAAATTCTAAGTTTTGGTGTCAGTAATGGGGATTCAACTCAGAATCTAGACATTCTTGCTTTTGTTTTCACTCAAGGCTCATGCTCTACCACTTGAGCCACAGCCCCACTTTTGGCTTTGTGTTGATTCATTGAAGATAAGCCTCACAGACTTTCCTGCCTAGATTGCTTTGAACCATGACCCCAGATCTCAGCCTTCTGCAGTGCCCGGCTTGTAACTTTAAAAAAAGAAAAAAGAATCTGGTTTTGCTTCCTCTTTTGGATCTTTCACAAAAGAAGAAGCAGACTGAAAATGATGACTTCCTTGTGCTACCCCTGGGCTGGGAGATGATCTTTGCACAGATGATCTTTGTACCCCGTGGCTTATTCTCTACAGACTGAACCATCAGAGTCAGCAAAGACCTGATCACCGTCTGGGAGACGGATGGGCCACATCTCTACAGATTAATTTATACTCTGGACTTTTCAGATAGGGGAAGTACGATTTGATTTTGCACTTTGAGATTGTGGGTAGGCACTTACTCTCTTCTGTCTCTTCTCAACAAAATTTCCCAGATGGAAAGATTATAGTCCTGGGGCTCTCTGTCCGTTAGCTTCTTTTGCTAGAGTAGCATTTTACCACTTGAGCCACAGTGTTGCTTCTGGCTTTTTTGAGCACGTTATTGGGGATAAGAGTCTCACAGAGTTCCTGCCCAGGCTGGCTTCAAACCAAGATCCTCACACTCAGATCTCAGCTTCCTGAATAGCTAGGATACTAGTTGTGAGCCACTGGTGCCTGCCTTAAAATGCATTTTTGTCAGGCTACTCAGGAGGCTGAGATCTGAGGATCATGGTTCAAGGCCAATGTGGGCAGTATGTCCATTAGACTCTTATCTCCAATGAACCACCAGAAACCCACATGTGGTGCTGTGGCTCATGTGGTAGAGCACCAGGCTTGAGCAAAAGAGCCCAGGTACTGAGGAAAAGCTCCAGCACCAGAAAAAAAGAAAGACAACATGAAGTGCAGATTTAATCAAGATCTGAGATTCAGTGATGACTTCTACACACGTTATATAACTCCTACCTTGTGACTGTTAGGAGTGCACAGTATTTCTAGATGATGGATATCAGGTTTCTTCAACAACTAGTCAGGGAAAAATCATGTCAGAGCGAGCGACCACAGACTTCTTACTTTTGCATGTGTGTCAGTATTGGGGCCTAGGAGCTGCCCTGGAGCTTCTTCATTCAAGTCTAGAGCTCTACGACTTGGCACAGCTCAACTTCTGGCTTTTTGGTAATTGAGAAAAGAATCTCATGGACTTTTCTGCCCTGGCTGGCTTTGCCCGTTAATCGTCAGTTCTCAGCCTCCAAAGGAGGTAGAATTACAGGTGGGGGCCATCAGTACCTGGCCAGAGTGAGAGATTGCAGGGATCCTGTGGGTTTGTGTTGGGGTGTGGGGTATCAGTGGATTCACTTTAGAAATTCCTTGTTCTAGGGTTTAAGTCTATATTTGAATATCATGTGGGAGGCTTGGTTTGGAATTTCCTGTAGATTGTGTAGCGGACAGGACTTGGGATTTCTAGACACCAAGGGCGTGTATATATATAAACTGGGATTTGAACTCAGGGTCTAGTTGATGCCCCTTAGCATTTTGTACTAAAGTCTGATGCGCTATCACTTGAGCCATAGCTCTACTTCTGGCTTTTGGTGGTTCACTGGACATAAGAGTCTCGTGGACTTTTCCACCCAGCCAGTTTGAACTCAATTCTGAGATCTCAGCCTACTGAGTAGCTAGGGTTGCAGGTGTGAGCCATTGGTGGCCCTTTTGAACATTTTTAGGTATGCAATTGAAATGCAGCTTTTCCTTGTGAATGCAATGAACTTCTCCATTCCTCCCCAACCGCCCCCCCCCCCCCCGCGCCACACACACACTGGAACCACAAGAACATGATAAATGGTTACTTCAGCACAACAATCATGAGTCAAACTGTGTTTATTCCACATCTACAGAAGGCCAGGAAGTCCGCTTTTGTCACTGCCTCAGTATTTCATGTCACCTGAAGCATCCCCACTGACCAGTCTCAGTATCATAATATACGTATTTTGTGCCGGTATTGGGACCGAACTCCAGGCCTGGGCGCTATCTCTGAGCTTTTTCATTCAAGATTGGCCCTCTGCCCCTTGAGCCACAGTTCTACTTCTAGCATCTTGCTGGGTCACTGAGGAGACTCTCATGGACTTTCTTGCTCATCTGGCTTTGAACTGTGATCTTTAGATCTCAGTCCCATGGGAAGCTGGTTCACACCAGGTGTGAGCCACCAGGCTCAGCTTCAACCTCGGGATTAGCAGCCTCTTCCCTGCAAGTCTGTTACAGTTTTCACCTGTTCCTCCCTTAAGACCCATTCTTAACAAGTTACACAAAGATCACCTTTTGGGCTGAGCACTCCCAGAGTTCATCTGCTTTCTGACAAAAGCAGTCAGATTCCAGTTCTGCGGTGAGCTTGAGAAGCTACGCACCAAAGTGCTAAGTTCTCAGAGCTGTTTTTCAGGTTATAAATAAAGACCAGTAAAACCCATGGATTGGGAGCATTTAAGTGTGTGTGTGTGTGTGTGTGTGTGTGTGTGTGTGTGTGTGTGTGTGTGTGTACTAGGGCTTGACCTCAAGGCCTGATTGCTTTCCCTTTCCCCTTAAGGCTGGTTCACTACCACTTGAGCCACAACTCTGCTTCCGGCTTTGTGCTGGTTAGTTATTGTTAATAGCCGAATGGATTTGTCTGCCCATGTTGGCTTTGAACCTCACTTCTTAGCTGAGATTTCCGGTGTGAGCCTCCGGCACCTGGCCAGCTGAACACCTTCTCTGTGAGTCTCATTTTGAAGCCATCCAGTTATTTATTTGCCTTAGCAAAGTTTCTTCCCTGACCACAATGAAAGGGAAGAAATTCCAGCCACGCAGTGCTGTCTGTAGTTCAGTCGAGACATCGCCCGTGGATCCAGCAGACAGTGTTTCTGCCATCCCCGAGCCTCCAGCCGCTTGGCTCCTCCACCCTCCACGGCCCTGGGAGCAGATTGCCCCCACTTGCACTGAGCATGTGAGCTGTGTTCAAGCTGCTTGTCTTTTTGGCAGCTGTTTCTGGGCCAGTTTTTTTTTTTTCTCAGCCAGTTTTCAGCTCCTCATCTCAAGTCTTCTTTTCAGGGAGGAGAAAGGACCCCAATGGGAGAGGCCAGCCACGCTGTCCCCCTGCCCTGCGTTCAGCGTGGGGACAAGGGACGGCTCACGTGGGGATGTTGGAGCCCAGGAAGCCCAGCCTCTGCTTGTTCTTCCTCTGTTCTGTCATCTGGGGAGGAAAAGACACAGGGATTCAGAACACCAGCGCTGTCACTGAGCCTTTATGCTGAAGACTAGTGCTCTAGCACATGAGCCACAGTGCCACTTCCAGTTTTCTGGTGGTTCATGGGAGATCAGTCTCCCAGACTTTCCTGCCACGGCTGGCTTTGAACTGGGATCCTCAGATCTCAGGCTCCTGAGTAGCTGGGATGACAGGCGTGAGCCGTTGGTGCCCAGTAGTCTCTTTACTGCAAGTTAGACTCCTCAGATCACACCGCAGCTCCGTGAACCTCCAGGGATCATAGGGTAGGATGGCAGACTCCCCCCCCCCCCAGCCTGTCCCCAGCTCCTGCACCTCCTTAGAACCCAGCCCCTGCTCCGCACCTGCTCCTTCAGCTCGGCCAGCTGCCCGGACAGCTGCTTCACCAGGCTCATGGTGGCCTCCAGCTTCTCCTGCAGGCTCCGAATCTCATTCTGCTCACCATCACCTTCGTTGCCGATGAGGGACATGGCGCGCATCCGAGGAAACCAGTCCAGGTTTTTCTCCTAAAAGCAAAGACACGTGCGGAAGCCTCAGAGGCAAACCTGAGGTGCTGCCGCGGGGCCGGGGTGAGCTCAAGGCCCAGCTCTGCATCCGCGCCCTGCCATCTGAGAGCTCGTCAGAAGCAGTGAGAAGATTCCAGAAGCGTCATGCGGAGGGCATGCCACCCCTCACAGGCCTTCTGAGCTCAGACGCAGGAGTTCCTGCTCACGCTGCACACCTTTCCCACCCTGCACCCGCATTCTCCTGTTTAACCAGAAGCCCGTGTCTGCACCCTGAAGACGTGAAGATCTCCTCGGGCGCTGTCTGCTCCCGGTTCCCAGGAATCCAGCTCCTTTATCTAGCATTCACCAGCTCTGTTTATTTGGCCTATGGAAGTGAGTGGCCAGAACTAATGTAAGACTCTCCTGGACTGGGCCTGGAGTCTACAAACATGGTTTCAGAAACCCGGGAATAAGAAAGGAGACAGACAAGGAATATGCCTGAAATCACAAGCTTGCATCTTGAAGGGAACCTCTCCCACTAGCTGAGATGAAGGCCTTTTTTTTTTTTTGTCGGTCATTGGGCTTGAACTCTGGGCCTGGGCGCTGTCCCTCCGCTCTTCAGCTCAAGGCTGGCGCTCTACCACTTGAGCTACAGCACCACTTCCAGTTTTTCTGGTGGTTCACTGGAGATAAAAGTCTCACAGACTTTCCTGCCTGGGCTGGCTTTGAACCACGGTCCTCAGATCTCAGCCTCCGGAGTGGCTAGGATGACAGGCATGAGCCACCAGTGCTGGCACAGAATAAGGGATGTTTGAAACGCAATTCCCCCAAACTGTGCTGACAGCCTTGCGCTGTCAACCATGGCCACCACTGCTGTAGCTGCAGCTTTCATCCTGCCTGTCCCAGGGTTGCAGATGCCCAGGAAGAATGTAGCAGTCTAGCTTGTTTTTTCAACAAACTAACAAATGTCAAAGCTCTAATTCTGGAAGAAATCAATCAGGAGATGAAAGAGTTAAGAACAGCTGCCATAGGTTATTCGCTGTTCAATCGTTTAGGATGTGAACAATTTAAAGGATTGTCCTGCTTTAATATAACAATTCTCAACATATTCAGCATCAGTTGCACTTGCTCCAGAAGGCGCTGGGCAAGTTAAAATACAGCTCTATCTGGGGCGTCCCAGAGTGGCTTTCCCAGTGCTGGGCTTTCCTGGGCCAATGGTTTCTAGACAGGAACTCTGGGATCTGAAACTGTTAGCGCCCCAGATCTCAGCTACACGGTCGGGCCTGTTCCTGCCTTGCTCCTTCTCACGATGGACCAAGGAGCCGGCAGCAGGCTGCAGCCTCGGTCCACCCACCGAGCATCTGTCCTCAGTGCCAGCACGCTACCAGTTCAGCCACAGTGCCGCCGCTGCTGGGTTATGTGGCAGTTCACCAGAGTTGAGAGTCGCGAGGACTTTCCTGCCCAGGCTGGTTTTGAACTGTGATCCTCAGACCTCAGCCTTGTTGTGCAGCTAGGATTCTAGTCATGAACAAGGATCTCTTTCTTCTCACACTTTTGATTGATTGATACGGTAAATGATAGACAGCGTGGGACTGTCCCACTGTTTACAACCATTGTTCCAGTTCCTTCCAGGCTGAATGCACTCCAGGTTCCGGCTGGCCTGTGGCCATCACGCCAGCTTCCATCCTCAGCTCCACCAGCCCTGCCCTGGAGCTCCGCCGTGCAGCGGCCGCCTCTCCCCGCCCAGACCCACCTGAGCTCCCGCCGGGCTCGCCCACCCCCAGACCCTGCTGCTGCCTGCATGGCAGCGGCCGTACTGCGCTCTCTTTCTGGGGCAAATATGGCTCCTCTTCTAACCCTTGTAACACTGTCCTACGCCCACCCTCCGCGTGGTCCCCTGGATGGACGTGTCCACCGGGACGCAGTCCAAGCCCTGTGGCTCCAGAGCCAGCACAGAGCTGAGAAGCTCGGGACCAGATGCCCTGTCTCTTCTACAACACTGGACTCTGGAGCTCTGTGCCGCTTGCCCCAGCTTTCCCCTCTGATGTGGAGACGTTTCCAGGAGAGAGGCACTCGCCCACCTCGGCAGAGCAGGGAGGCCCTCCTCCGTGACCACCCAGGACCGCCCCAGCCCAGCCCTGACAGCTGGCACTTCTTCTGGAGATGACAGAACTTGGAACCCCGTGTCCCCCCCAGTGCCTGTGCCACACCAGCCCACACCCAGGCAGGTCTGTGAGGATCAATGGCACCAGCCACCACTCCCAAGGGGGGACTCTCCAGGGGGCAGCGTAGAGCCCTTGTCTCAGATGAGGCAGCCTGGCCGTGTGGCTCACAAGGCTTTGCACAGCAGACATGGAGATGTGGTTTCCATAGAAACTGAAGACGCGGAGTTGGGAGCACTGGCTCAGGGCGGGCAGGATGGCCGAGAGCTGGTCATCTGTGATGGCACAGTCCTCCAGGGCCAGGGTCTCCGGGGTGCCGGCCACGTGCTCCAGTAGGACTCTCAGGGGCTCAGGACTGAAGTTGTCCAGGGGCAAACTCCTCAGACGCAGGTGCTTGAGTTGCCTGGAGCAGGGCCACTGGGACAGGAACCACAAGTCAGCCTCCTTCAGTGGACACGAACTCAGAGACAAGGTCTTCAAAAGGGTGAGGTTCCTGAGGATGGTGGGCAGCCGTCCATAAAGGAAGAAGACTTTGTGTACATACAGCTCCTGCAGATGCTGCAGCTGCCCCAGAAATCCTTCAGGCTAGCACGGAGTCCCCGGTCACAACGGGGAAGGTGAGGATGTAAAGGTTCCATCTGGCCAGACTCACTCACCACCAGCTCCTGGATGGAGTCCAGTCTCACCACACGCAGAGCCTTCTGGATTTCAGAGATGGAGCCAGACAGAATCTGCAGCTTCCTGGAGCACAGCTGGACTTGTTCTTGCCTCTCCCTGGCCCACTGGAGCAGGTGGCCTTGGAGAGCATCCTGGGCGCCATGTTTGATGGTCAGGTCCATGAGTAAAATCAAGGGCTGCTCTTCAGTCATCATTGAACCACAGTTCTCTGTTGGCCTGTCAGTCAGGACATCTGGATAAGAGATTCGGGCCACTGAAGGGTAGCCCTCTATCCAGATGTTGGGGTGCTCCTTCCGCAGGTCGAGGACTTGCAGTTTCCACCGACTGGGGCGCTCCTTCTTGGCCAGTAGCAGATCGATCCCATCCAGGACAGCCTTGAAGGTTTGCAGGTCTGGAGACTCTGCCAGGTCCCCCAGAGGGAGGCAGGAGAAGGGCCAGGCCTGCACCAGGGCCTTCAGCACCTCTGTGTGGGCCCTGGCATAGACCTCTATGAAGAGTGAAGGGAACAGCAGCACCGGTAGATCCTCCAGGGCAGAGATGGCCAGGGCCTGGTTGCTCAGCAGGCTCTGCATGGCCAGATGCTGGAGCGAGGGAGGGGCTCCAATGCTCATCTTGATGGACCAGATGTGGGCCAGGTGTACAGGGCTCTCTGAATCCCAGCAGGGCCAGGCACTGACTGCAGCTCAGGAACAAACTGCTCTTTGGCGGCCCACTGGTGTCTATAACTCAATCCCACCGCACCATTGAGTATCTATCCATCTGAGAGCAGCTTCTGATAGGATTTCTGAGTCACACCCATTACACCTTGGTTGAGATTAATTCACAGAATAATTTCAACCCAAAAGTGCTAGGTTTAAAGGTGTGACCCACACAGGCCAGCTTTTCTCTGAAATGTAAAACACACTGGAGCAAAAAGACCTCTCACCCTTAACCTGACATCCCTCCAGACATTACACGACCCCGAGCCTGCAGAGGGTCCAAGAAGAGCAACCAGCGCAAACATATAACACCCACGAGACTGCAGGAACTTCCGTGTATTCCTTCCCTTCCCTTCCTTCCTTCCTTCCTTCCTTCCTTCCTTCCCTCCTTCCTTCCTTCCTTCCTTCCTTCTTATCTTCCTTCCTTCCTCCCTTCCTTCCTTTCTCCCTTTCTCCCTTCTTTCCACCTTTCTTTGTTGTGCCAGTCCTATACTTTGAACTCTGAGCTGGACGCTGTCCCTTAGCATCTTATTTTCAAGCCTAGCGTTCTACCGCTTGAGCCATAACAGTAAATTTTTCTGAAGAATTTCTTGGAGATCAGAGTCTTGACATGGACAAGGAAGTGGCTGCTTACCAGAACAAAGGCCCCTAAGAAGGTAGTAACTTGGCCTGTATGATGAAAACACGAATTCTTAGGAAAAGCCTGCAATAAATGCTTCCTTCTATCATAAGAATGCTGCTACCTAGAGATGCTAAAGCACAACTTGAGCATAACTTCCCCTCGGGCTTGTGAGTTCTCATTTTGCGTAACACAGAAGAAACTCTGAGTCGTAGACAGCTACATTTTCTATTGCTTATCTTAAATGAGCAACTAGAGATGCCAAGTGTCTTACCAACCCTGGTAAATCAACGCAGAGTGCGCAATGCCAGGAAACCAGTGTTCTCCAGTTCATATCAAACATTATGTCTATTCTTCACACACGCACAACTTAATTTTTATTTCTGTGCCCATAGTGGGGCTTGAACGCAAGGCCTCTTACTTGCTTGGCTTTTTAAAAATTCCTAGTTAGCCCTCTGCCACTTGGGCCACAACGTGTACGGGGGCGGGGGCGGGGGGAAGGGGTTGATGGTGAATTAGAGACAAGTCTCTCAGACTCGTCTGCCCAGGCTGGCTTTGAACTGTGATCCTCAGATTTCAGCATGAGCCACCTGGTACACCCTGAAAGTGTGACTCGGCTGCATCTGCTCATAATGGGCAAGTTCCAGGGACTGAGAGCTTCAAGAAGGGCCTGCGGGAAGGCTGGGATCCGCGGGGACGGCCACCACGGGGAGGTGCTGGCACTGCCTACAGAACCAGTCAGCAGGTTGTCACTGCAGATGAATAACCAAAAATCCAATGATTTTCAGCAAGGCAGGGCTTCTCCAGCGACTGGGAGGCCTATTCAAACATTACCAACAGCAACAATAGAGAAAAACATTGCTAGAAACGTCGCCACCTGGGAGCAGCGTTGCGAAAGTCTGATCACTCACCGCAATCATCTGCGCCACGTAGCTCTCGGGGCCGGTGTACTCGGTGGGGTCCTTCACCCTCACCAGGACGACGAAGTACAAGTAATGCCACATGTTGTGCTCTGACTTAATGTGCTCCTCGAAGGAGACGGTCTTATTATCAAACTTGTCCCTCTCGAGTCCTGCAAGACACAGGACACACGAGAGATGCGACCTGCCATCCCGCACCACCTACTTCTAGATAATCGCGACTGTGCACCAGCGCTTCCATTAGAGGGTTATGATAAACGGGGCGCACCAGGCTGGGAAGGTGGCTCAGTGGTAGAGCGCTTGCCCGGGCTGGCCTTGAACTGTGACACTCAGATCTCAGCTCCCCCAGTATCTGGGATGACAGATGTGAGCTGCTAGCAACGCAGCCGGATTTGTCTTTCTTAAAGAAGAGAAATGAGCATTCTCACTCTCGAAACGGAGCATGCCAGCACTGCTATATTATCTGGGTTTTTACCCAGCTTTCAATATGGAAAACAGCTCCCAAAGGCATGGCAAGTAAGAATCATCCCAGCCGCACTTTCCTGAGAAATATCTGCTTCCTGTGTGGTTTCTCCATGTGGAGGGGCCGGGCCACAGATGGACAGCACCACCTGGACAGCACTGTCCCGTGGACAGCACCGCTACACATGGACGCTCACCACAGATAAAGCAGGTCGTCTTCAGGATTTCTTCTTTTTTCTGCTTTTCGCTTCTGAGATCAGCAAAAGTATCGATGATAACGCCAAAAATCAATTTCAGCACGATAATGATCACGATGAAAAAGAAGAGGAGATCGTACACCACTCGAGCCGCGAACAGGGGCTCCTGAAACCAAACCACAACACTTGCACACATTTCCCAGCATAAAACCATCCGTGTTTGCTCCACACATAGAAACAATGGGACGTTATTTATGCATTATGAAAAATACACTACCGAGTGGACACTGACTTCTACTTCAGCAACTTTAGAACGCACACGAAGTCGTTGTTTAATAGCTGAGGGTCTGGGCCTAGACAGGTGAGTGAGAACACCATAACACGGCTGGCCAGTGGCAGGGTTAAGGATCTGCTAAGCTCCGAGTGCAGTAGTTGAGATTTTACACTGACTGAAGACACTGTCTAAACTGCGGCTTTAATATAGGAAATGCATTGGAATTCACTATTCATTGCAGATAAATCATGGAAGTTATTTGTATGCAGAGGCAGAGAAAATGAACATGAGGGGAGAGAGAGAGAGAGACAGAAAAAGAGAGAGCGAGAGCCAGCCAAACATAGCACTCAACTCCTACATAAACTTCACAGCCAGGATTGTGCTGCTGTAGAACCCCCCAGAGCTCAGACATGCCAGTGTCTCCCTGCAATACGCGCTGAGTGATTCCTAGTGGTGCACGTGCTAGAAATCCCAGTACACCATTAATTGTATGAAAACCAGTGAATGTCCACGCCCCCCATGATCCTTCAAACGATACAGTGTGTTACCCTGTAAGGCAACTCGCTGCGTGCATTAAGCCGGGCTGCAGCGCGAGACACTGGCGGCTCGGGTGACTGGAAGCTTAGCTCCTCCAGAGGTTGAGATCTGGAGGGCTGTGGTTCCAAGCAGCCCGGGCAGAAAAGTCTCTGAGGTTCTATCTCTGTTTGACCAGCAAAATTCCAGACTGGAGGCATGGCTCAAGTGGTAGAGTACCGGCTGTGAGCAAGAAAACTGCGAGTGAGAGCAAAGAGGCCTTGAATTTCAGCTCTGGAACGCACATGCACGCACACATATGCACACACGTACACGCGCACACGCACACGCACACGCACACGCACAGAGGCGGAGAAACAACCTCCTCCCTGCGGCTTACGTCCTTGGACGGTCTCCGCAGCACATCCCCCACGCCGCCTCCGTTCCGGAGACCCTGGTTCAGCACCGTGACGATGCACATGAGCAGCGTGTCGCACGCCCTCTCGACGCCGTCTTCATGCTCCTCGCCCGCTGCGGAACACGAGTCACACACACGTGCACTTAGAAAGCAGTTATCTCCATCAACCACCCACGTGTGTTCTTTCCCTCCCTTCTCTCCCGCGTCTCTTGCTTTTCCTTCCCCCTCTCCTCTCCCCTGCCCTCTCCTCTCCTTTCTTCCCTGCACCGTGGTTTCCATTCAAGGTCTCTCGCTCACACAGGCTGCCCGGCTGGTGCTGTACTGCGTCTGTGCGTGCCTCTCGCTCTGGAGTCTCATGGGCTTTTCTGCCCAGGCTGACTTCTGCTATCCTCCAGAGTCTGACAGGCTTCCCGTACTGAGCTCTGCCCACCCATACTGTGTGCCTCGATTCAGTTTAATATGACCTAGTTACTGCGAGCAGTTGCATCACAGGTGGACAGAGGAAAGCCACATATGTAATGGCCTGAATAGCTTTTCTTTTTCCACAGGGGGGAGTGGCAAAATTGCAAAGAACAGACCCTAAGAAGGCTAGCCTCCGCCATGCCTTCACGCAGAGAGAGGAGATGGAGCTAACCCTCTAGAAACCAGCCCAGCCTGCCAGAGACGGCGGGCCTGCAGGAGGGACGGAGCTGGACACCGGTCGGACCCGGTTTCAAACTCTGCTCTGCTCTGGAATGGGCACCAGGGTGAATTTCTGAACCCAGCGTTCTCTACAGAATGGAGAGCACCGGCAAGGCTACCACTGTTCCTTTATCTTGGCCAAGTGTGGGAAGCTCTTTGAAGGATGCTACAGATGGCACACGCAGTGAGCTTATGTGGAGAAATGAGGCCTAGGCACCGGGGGCTCTGCCCGCCATCCCAGCTACTCAGGAGGCTGAGCACTGAGGACCGTGGTTCAGAGCCAGCCCGGGTAGCAAAGTCCTTGAGACTCTGATCCCCAATGAAGTGCTTAGAAAAAGTCCAGAGTTCTGCTACGGCTCAAGGGCGAGAGCTAGCCCTGAGCAAAGAGAAACTCGGGGACAGGGCCAAGCCCTGGGTTCAAGCCCCATGACTGGCACCAAAAACAACGTCAGAGAAATACAGAGAAGAAGATGTGTTACAGGGGAATCGGGACTGGATTAAGTTTGTTTGATGGCAGAATTAACACGTATCTGTCTGATTATTTAAGATAATGATCTGTGCGTGTGTGTGTGCGTGCGCGCGCAGGTGCACGCACGTGCGTGTGCACTGATACTGGGGCTTGAACTCAGAACTGACACTGCCGCTTAGGTTTCTGTCGCTTTTCTTGTTTGCTTTTGCTCATTTTGCTCTGGGTGGGTGCGGTACCAGTTGAGGTGCACCTCCGCCTTCAGCTCTTGCTGGCTAAATGGAGATGACCGTCTCATACTTGTTACCAGGCTGTCTTTAAACCTTGATCCTCAGATCTCAGCCTCCTGAGTAACTAGGGTTACTGGCGGGAGCCACTGCCATCCAGCTTGACTGCGTTTTTCATGTATGTGTTGGAGCTGAGGCTTGAACTGAGAGCCGTACACGCTTGCTGGCTGCTTCCACTGAAGGCTGGCACTGTGCCACTGAGCCACACCTTCACCCCAGGACAGTGGATGTAATATATAAACACCTGAGTATAGAATCGTGCCTTTGAACCAGAGGGAAATGAGCAGAAAGACACGATTTCATACAACAATGAAGAACTTCTTGTGTGCTGATTTGGGGAGTGTGTGGCCCCAGGGGTGAGTCAAGGTGAGAATTTAAAAGCAGTGAGAAAAAGGAACAGGAAGTCTCGTTTCAGTGGCCTGTTCAGCGCTATTGTATGAACTGTAAAACTTCCTCTGAACTGACGGTACTTTCCCATCACGTGATGGAAGTAGGCTGGTGCTTCTACTTCAGTTAGATGTGCTGGGACACCGCCAGCCAGGAGGGCTGGTATCAAAGACAGCAGCAACGTGCGCATGCTCACTTACGGTCAAGTCCGACGCACGCTCTGAGTTAGAAAGCAGGAGAGCTCAGACACCTTTTGAAAGAAGGAGCAGTGGGAAGGAGACAGGCGTGTGTCAGTGGAGTCAGGACACCAGGACAGAGAGACAGCAAATCAATCAGCAGACAGCTCGGCCCATGATGTGCTAGTTAGGTGTCAATGCACAGGGCAGACTTTAATATGGAGCACGTAAGAGGCTGAAGGGACTGGTAGAGAGAGATGTGGTTTACCCAGTGTGCACGCTGTATGGCGGCTACGCGGCTAGAATTAGGCACGCTGCTGGTGTAAGACTGTACCTAGGGCCTTCTCTGCTTCCACTTGTTCCTTAAGCAACAGAAGTCTTGAGCAGTGTCAGCGGGAGAAATGAAGAACATCGCACTGTTCCTTCACTCTCCTTCGCAATCACCCGCATAAAGCCAGGTTGTGCTATAAAGACCAACGGCCCTGGAACTCACTGGGTCTCCAGGGGTTCTGAGCCTGTCTGACCAGGTCATTTGGGAACGCCAGACAGGAGAAAGGGGTTCACTCATGGGTGAATAGAAAGATCTCAGGACACATTTCCTCAACTGTCATGTTTCAACATAAGCTGCACACTCGGTCCTCAACCCTTCCCCTGCATGAACGTCTAAGAGCAACGTTCCTAGAGTGTTCCGGGCTGAGGTGGTCACCGCCCTGGCTCTCCATACCGACCTGCGCTGGAGGCGGGGGCTGCAGGTGAGCAGCTCTCCTTGTCACAGGTCCCCAGGGTGGAGGGCAAGGTCACCGAGGGCACGTCCCGATTCCCTGGGAGAAGGTCGGAGGCAACCCGGAGAGGACAGGAGTCAGAAAGACATCAATGGCCACGCCGAAGCTCAGGCCGAAGCTCAGGCCGGAGCTCCATCTCCAGCACCCATGCCAGAGCTCAGGCCGGAGCTCCATCTCCAGCACCCGCACTGGAGCCCAGGCCGGAGCTCAGGCCTGGAGCTCCATCTCCAGCACCCACGCCAGAGCTCAGGCCGGAGCTCCATCTCCAGCACCTATGCTGGAGCCCAGGCCGGAGCTCAGGCCTGGAGCTCCATCTCCAGCACCCACGCCAGAGCTCAGGCCGGAGCTCCATCTCCAGCACCCGCACTGGAGCCCAGGCCGGAGCTCAGGCCGGAGCTCCATCTCCAGCACCCACACTGGAGCCCAGGCCGGAGCTCCATCTCCAGCACCCGCACTGGAGCCCAGGCCGGAGCTCAGGCCGGAGCTCCATCTCCAGCACCCACACTGGAGCTCAGGCCGGAGCTCCATCTCCAGCACCCGCACCCCCAACCCCCGCAGCGTGGCCTCTGGGAACAGGGTTTCCATATTCACCCCTACTTTAGCTCAGCAGCCTTCATCTTGGGTCATCCAAGAGCCAGGCCCTGCCATAGACCGCTCGGAGCCCCAGCCCGGGCTGCATCAGCAATTCGTCGCTGCCGTCGTCGGGAGCCATCCCCGGCCCCGCGCGGTTTGGGCATCCAGCTGCCAGTGGCCCTTCCCCGGCCTGTGCCGGCTATGCAGTGTTCCGTCCCGGCTACGGGCCAGGTAGAGGACGTCTGCCCGGCTGCAGCCGGCTGCTGAGAGCTGCCCTGGCTGGCTGCTCTCTGTGCCCCGCTGCCCCAGGAGAGGGCTCCAGTTCGCAGCCTTTCTCCTGCCTTCAGCCTCCTCGCAGCTGTATAACCACCTGCCCGCCCGGGGGCCGGCTACTCGCAGGCCCGCGCGCTAGCCTGTCAGCGTCGGCTGACGCTAAGTTCTGTGTCCGTGTGGTTTTCTGGGATGGGCTTACAAACAGGAGCACATAATGCTCCAGGGCAGGAAGAATCCCCGACAGCTAGACCCTCCTGCAGCGTCCACGAACCGGCTGCTCGTCATCTGATTCCCACCCTACGAGGAGCAGAAAACGCGGACCTTCCAGCGCTGAGCACAGTGTGACAGGGGACTTGGGTTAGGAGGGGACTTTGAGAGGAGGAGGAGGCCAGGTGGGAGCAGGGCCAGGGCCCTGGAGCTGCGATTGTGGGAGATGGGTCTCCAGGGGCCGTCCCATGTGAATGACTGCTTACAGCAGCAGCACGGCAGGCCTTGGGGATTTGGAGAAGGGACAGCACGAAGGTGACACAGAGAGGCACGGCGTCACTGTAGCTGGAGGAGGAGCGCAGCTGCCCCCCACCCATGTCCTGTTCCGCCTCCGGCGCAGAGCGATGCGGTCAAGTCATGGCAAACCCTGAGACCACACCAAACCATTTCCTCCTGTGAAGGTCTCAGACCTCCTCATACCGCTTCGGAGCTCGAGGCAAAAGGCCGAGCAAGCAAGGAAGGAAGAGACAAGCACCCTACCTTCCTGAGACTACGGTCACAGCGCCGGCAGTAGATGCACAATTCAGGAGCTCTCAGTTTGTAACCTTCAGTCCCCGTGTTGGGTATTTCTGTCCTGTCTGCATAGATCTTCCAGTTTGTTCTGCCATGCTTGCCTGGGGCTGGCCCCTTCCCCACAGCCTCTCACTCTGCTGGGACGACTTACTCATGAGCTGAGGCGGGGTCTGTCTCTAACCAAACTGCTCTCCCGAGTCTCTGGGATTACAGGTGGGACCCACCAGACCCAGCCTAATGAGAATATTTTACACGTGTCTCTCATACTAAAGTTTCTACTAACTGATGTTCTCCTCATCAAAAGCATGTATCACTGGCGTATTTGTATATAATTAGGATATACGGACATTAAACATATACGGAATACTGGCTGTTAATTACGTTAGATATTATTCTCCAGGGAGAGAAGGGAGGGGAAAAAACTGAGATTTTCAAAGCTGTTTCTCTACACTGGAGTATCTGACTCTAATGTGAAATATGGTGAGAGTTATTAAATCTTTCTGAGACTGAGGTTAGCTGTTATTTTGTTTGTTGTTGTTCTACCCATACTGGGGCTTGAACTCAGGGCCTCGAGTTACTAACTCGGCTTTTTTGCTTAACATGGAGTTCTAAAACTTAAGCCGAACCTCTAATGTAGCTTTTTTTTCTGGTTAGCTGGAAATAAGATACTGTTGGATTTGTTTTTCTGGGCTGGACTCAAATTGCTGTCCTCAAATTTCAGCCTCCTTAGCAGCCAGGGTGATCCACAGGTTTATTGTATAAACATTTCCCAAGACTCATGGACTGATCATCCAGAGCCCAGGAGTAACTGAACACTCATAAATATCCTCAGACCAAACAAGAATGTATTTTCAAAGGAATGAAAGGAAAAGGGCTTTTTGTGTGTATGGGGCACTGGGACTTGAACTAAGGGCCTCACACTCTGCTTTGGCTTTTTCTCCCAAGGCTGGAGCTGAACCATTTGAGCCTCAGTTCCACTTGCTTTTCTTTTTGCCAGTCCTGGGGCTTGAACTCAGCATTTGAGCGCTGTCCCTGAGCTTTTGCTCAAGGCTAGTGCTCTACCACTTGAGCCACAGCGCCACTTCTGGCTTTTTCTGTGTCTGTGGTACTGAGGAATCGAACTCAGGACTTCATGCATGCTAGGCAAGCATGCTCTGCCACTGAGCCATATTCCAGGTCCCACTTTTGGCTCTTTGCTGGTTCACTGGACATAAGAGCCTCACGGACTTTCCTGCCTGGGCTGGCTTCAAAGCTTGATCCTCACATCCCAGCCTCCTGAGCAGCTGGGATGACAGGCGGGAGCCAGCGGGGCGGGGCCTGACAGACACGTCTCTGCAACCCCATGAACAGGCCACGTGCAAGTCACGTGTGGGTGGGTGGAGGCTCCCGGGGCGGCAGAAGTACCTGCGGCCGGGGTCCTGTTCCTCAGTCTGTCCACCTCCATGGTGAAGTCGTCCTTCAGGAAGAGGAAGCCGATGATGGAGAACAGGTAGACGAGGATGAGGGCCAAGACGGCCGCCAGGATGATGGAGCGTCCGTTTCGGGTGACGCTCTTGATGACGTTGAGCAGGGTCTCTTCTCTGTACACCAAGTCAAAGAGCTGCAAAGCAGGGAAGCGGAACACGCCACGGGGCCCGGGTGAGGGACACCATAGCGGCACACAGACACACATCACCCTTCGCTGAGGAACACGCTACCCAGACCACTGCATCAACGACCTGACAAAATGCCCATTGCTTGTCCTACTGCAGTGCATCAAACACGTTTTTTGTGGATGAATCTGGCATCATCTATGAGTTTGTGTGGGGGGGCCAGTCCGGGGTTTGAACCAGGACGTGGGTGATGTCCCTGAGCCTTTTTGTTCAAGGCTGGAGCTCTAACTCTTGAGCCACAGCACCACTTCCAGCTTTTCTGGTGGCTCACTGGAGATAAGAGTCTGGGCTGGCTTTGAACCGTGATCCTCAGATCTCAGCTTCCTGAGTAGCTAGGATGACAGGCGTGAGCCACCGGTGTCCACCTGCACATGTTGGGTTTATGAGCACTGAGATATCACTTTCTTACAGAACTATAGAAATAGAACACTTCGATTTGAGCCAGGTAGAAACTATTCAGGAGGCTAAAATCTGGATCGTGGTTGGAAGCCAACCCAGGTAGAAAAAAAAATGCCATGTGATTCCTATCTCCAATTATCCATCACCAAACAAACAAATCTGGAAGTGGGGCTGTGGATCGAATGTTCCAGGGTCAGATTTGGGGCAAAATAGCTAAGGGGCAGTCCCCAAGGCCCTGGGTTCAAGTCCTGATACAAGCACACACAGAAAAGAATACTTCCATCTGAATTTAGGGAAATTATACATTGGGCACATCTAGCTGATGAGCTGACGATTCATTACCTGTACCTGTGTGTGTGTGTGTGTGTGTGTGTGTGTGTGTGTGTGTGTGTGAGCCCGGAACACGTACATTAAGTGTTTGTGCGTGCAGTGAGCTCAGTTGTGTAGTATAGAGATTGCACCACACATTGTTCTCCTGTATTTTTTTCTTCTATTTTGCTATTCTCATTTCTTATTTGCAAATAAATATATACTGTTGTACTGTTGAAAAAAATGTACATGTGAGTGTGCGTGCATGTGCACGCATGCCAGAACGCAGGGCTTCATGTTTTCACTTCAGGTAAGCACGCTACCACGTGAGCCACAGCACCACCCCTGGCTTTTTCTGTGTATGTGGTGCTGAGGAATGGACCCCAGGGCTTCACACATGCTAGGCAAGCGCTCTACCACTGAGCCACCTGCCCAGCCCTGCTCTGATTTGTAACTTAACAGTGCCCAAGGAAAGGGTCTTACATAGGCTCTGGATTCGTTGTGAAGAAAGCTTATGGCTTTTAGAAACCTCTGTGGCCAGAAACAGATGTGGCCAAAGTCCTGCACAACCAAAGGATACTGATGTCGGACAGATAGACTGTTATTCCCTTTTAAGTCAGTTGTGGGACTTGAACTCAAGGCCTCTCAGTCTCACTTGGTTTTTCGCTCAAGGCTGGCCCTCTACCACTTGATCTACACCTCTGCTCATCTGCCCAGGCTGGCTTTGACCCTTCATCCTCAGATCTCAGTGTCTAATGTGGCTGGGATTACAGGCAGAAGCCACTCTTGCCAGGCTCTGCAGGTTTTATGTCTTTTCCTTTGTATTTATTTATTTTTCTGGTTCTGGGCTTGACCTCAGGGCCTAGGAGCTGTCGCTGAGTTTTTTCAGCTTAAAGTCAGTGCTCTACCACCTGAGCCACAGCTCTACTTCCTGCTTTTTTGGTCACTAACTGGAGGTAAGAGTCTTGTGGATTTTCCTGCCTGGGCTGGCTTTGAACTGTGCTCCTCAGATCTCGGCCTCCTGAGCAGCTGGGATGACAGGCGTGAGTCACTGGTGTCTGGCTCTGTAGCTTTTTATATATCCATCAAACCTCAGTAAAGTATTGGGGGGAAAAAGAGTATCATATGTATACTCAAGTAAAATTGCAGGATATAGCAGGATTTGTGGTCTGGGAATGTGGCTTAGTGTTTGCCTAGCACACATGAAGCCCTGAGTTCAATTCCTCAGAAACACATAGAAAAAGCCAGAAGTGGCATCGTGGCTTAAGTGGTAGAGCACTAGCCTGAAGCAAAAGAAGCTCAGGGACAGCACCTAGGTCCTAAGTTCAAGCCCCAGGACTGGCAAAAATAAAAAAAAAATAAATGAATAATAAGATGGTATCACAGACATAAAAAATATGGATTTTTGTATGTGTGTGAAACAGAAAAGAAAGAACTGATTTGGATGATTGGGACAGAAGCATTCAAGAATGACTACGGGATGCCCAGCTAACCCACCTGGGGTGGGTTACATTAACGTTTCAGGCCAGACGCCTTTGGCTGTCATTCTGTTGGAGACCCGGGAAAGTGTGGCCACATTTTAGCCTTTTCAACATAGATGTGCTAGATCGGAAAGGCAGGGGCTGGGACCCTTTGTACAACTGCAGATAGGCAGATAGGCAGGCAGGCAGGCAGACAGACAGACAGACAGACAGACAGACAGACACACAGACAGACAGATCTCTTTATATATTCATGTTGTTTTGGCCAGTAGTGGGGCTTGAACTCAAGGCCTGTGTGCTGTTGCTGAGCTGGCGCTCTACCACTCGAACCACAGCACCACTTATGATTTTCTGGTGGCTCACTGGAGATCAGAGTCTCACAGAATTTCCTGCCTGGGTTGGCCTTGCACCAGGATCCTCAGATCTCAGCCTCCCGACCAGCTGGGATGACAGGCATGGGCCACAGTGCCAGGCTTTTAAAAATTAAAAACCCCCACCAAGCCGGGGACGCGGCCCCAGCAGAGCCGGGCGGGCCCGGGTGTGCTCCACAGCCAGGAGCGGCCGCAGCTGCACCTGCACAGCCTCTACTCACCAGGAAGCTGTAGAAGAACTCGTGCACGAAGAGGCCCAGCATGCAGACCAGCACGTAGGCCACGTGGTAGAGGAAGGCCACGTCCAGGACCACTGCCCGGTACCCGCGTGTGAACGTGCCACGATTCCCCACAAAGCTCACCAGGAAGACGATCTTGTTGCAAAGCTGAAGGAAGGGAAGGCACGAGGTCACCGCGTGGAAGGCCCTCAGGAGACGCTGCAAAAGTCTAGCATTTGTCCATGCATGACTTCTCCCGTGTAGGAATCTGCTCCACACACAGCCCTCGGAGCCCAGCTGCCAGAGAGACTGGCAGCCAGGACTGAGGTGGATTTGTTGGTGGTGTTGGTGTGGTGTTATTGTTGGTGTTGGTGGTGGTGTTGTTGTTGTTGTTGTTGGTGGTGGTGGTGTGATATTGGTGGTGGTGGTAGTGGTGGTGGTGGTGTTGATGTTGTTGTTGTTGTTGCTGCTGCTGTTGTTGTTGTTGGTGGTGGTGTGGTATTGGTGTTGGTGGTGGTGATGGTGGTGTGGTATTGGTGGTGGTGGTGGTGGTGGTAGTGGTGTTGATGGTGGTGGTGGTATTGTTGTTGGTGGTGTTGGTGTTGGTGTGGTATTGGTATTGTGGTGTTGGTGTTGGTGGTGGTGATGGTTGGTTGGTTTTTTGCTGGTCTTGGAGCTTGAACTCAGGGCCTGAACACTGTTCTTGAACTTTTACTTCTTGCTCAAGGCTAGCTCTCTACCACTTGAGCCACACCTCCACTGCCAGCATGTTTTGGTAATTTATATTTTGGGGTCATTAATTGGAGATAAGAGTCTCATGGACTTTTTCTTTTAACTGGGCTATCTTAGAACTATGATCCTCAGATCTCAGTCTCCTGAGTAGCTAATAATACAGGCATGACCCACCGGTTCAAGGATTGAGATAGATAGATAGATAGATAGATAGATAGATAGATAGATAGATAGATAGATAGACAGACCTACACTCATACATACATATTATATATACATATATGTAAAATTTGATAGTAAGTGTGGGTCACCTCCATTTAATTTTAGCTTATAGCTTCATCTGTTCCACAAGGCAAATGTCTAGGTATAAACTAAATGAACACACGAATACACGATAGCATTGGTTTCTGTTTTCACTGACCTCTGCCTTCTGAAGAATGACAAACCAGGATAATTTTATAAGCTTATATTACAATTACACAATTATTGCATAAATCACTTCCATTAACCCACATCACATTAAGTTTAGAGACACAAGTGTTCCCACCAACTCTACAATATCAAACTGCAAGTATTTCATCAAATTTGTCCAAAATTGGCCATGATTATTTGGTCAAAGTACCCTACACCTAGACCACTGAATCTTATCAGCCAGCATTTGGCTAGACAAAGGTATTTTTTCTCTGTCCAAGCCGCCAGGCACTGGCTGCTTTCACACCTGTAATCCTGGTGACTCTCATACCTGTAATCCTGGCTGAGGAGGCTGAGGTCTGAGGATGGCAGTTTGAAGCCAGCTTGGGCAGGGAACTCTATGAGACTTATCTCCAAGAAACCACTTAGAAAACCTGAAGTAGAGCTGTGGCTCAAAGTCGCAGAGTGTGAGCCACACTTGAGCTCAAAAGCTCAGGGACAGCACTCAGGCCCCGACTGAGTTCAAGCCCATGACTCACAACAACAAAAAGAGTAGCAATGTGTTCATGGAGCATTAAGACAGGTTATATCCACATAGTCATTTCTTCATTTCTGCAGTGTTTACAGCTGAACTCAGTGTTCCATGCTTAGTAGGCATTCGTATTTAGTCTTTCTTATTAAAACTCTGAAGCATGAAGAGGGTGCTAGCAGCTTTTGCCTGCAATCCTAGCTACTCAGGAGGCTGAGAGCTAGAGGATTGTGGTTTGAGGCCATTCTGGGCAGAAAACTTCACTAGATTCCATCTGCAAAGTAATCAGCCAAAAGAGAATGCTTGGAAGCATGGCTCAAGTGGTAGAACACTGGCTGAACAAGTGCAAAGCCCTGAGTTCAAATCCTGGTATGGCCAAAAAAGGTCGGGGGGAAGGAAGAAGAAACTCCATCAGTGTGCCTTCTATTAGAACAGAGTTTTGTTTTGGCTGAATTATCTGCATGGAACCAAGTAAAAGTTATCTCTCTATCCAGACCCAAGAGAGGGCAAAAGAAAAATGTTGCACACACTTCTGGTTTTCCCCATCAGACATGAGAATGTTGTATTTTTATTTCTTTATATATGTGTGGTTCAAATATTAAGAATATGAGAACAGTGAACAGACAGATTGACTTCCAATGGCAGCGTCACATTCTCTGTTTCCTGTGCTTTTTAAAATCGGTATTAAGTAATGGAGGCCCAGGGGATGTTTTGTTATCTCTGGCACAAGTCTAGGAAGCTATTATTTCACTTGACCAAACGTAAGATTTTCCTCACTTGGAGTAACATTCAGTAGCCTGACTGAGGGCTAGTTCCCTCTTTAGAAACAATATTTGCTTCAAATAATAGCGTTTCCACCTGGCTGTTTTGTTTTGTTTTTGTGGCAGCACTGGGGCTTGTCCCGTAGCTTTTTCATTCAAGGCTATAGCTCTCTCTACCACTAAAGCTACAGCTCCACTTCCAGTTCTTGAGCTAAGAGTCTCAGGGAGTTTCCTGCCCAGGCTGGCTTTGAACCACATCTTGCTTGGTAAGATTACAGAACTAGTCCATTTATTTCCAAACTTCATGCTCGCTTCAAATATTCAAATATTCAAATGCCAAGAATTAGGGTGGAAAAGAGTGCAGATTGGTGGAAGAGGATCACACATATAAATACAGCAATCAGCCCCCACCAAGAATTTTACAGGATAGTATATTTGATATAACACCTTCTACTGGGGATGGAGGCATGACTCAGGGGGTAGAGCACCAGCCAGTAAGCAACAGTGTCAGATTCTGGGTTTGAGTCTGGTCTCAGAAAAAAAAAAAAAACCCTTCTACTGATAAGACTTATTTTTCATTACTGGGTTTCACCTCTCAGAGCCGACTCCTTGTTAGCTGGTGCTCTACCACTTGAGCCACACCTCCACTTCTGGCCTTTTGCTGGTTAACTGGAAATCAAGAGTCGCACAGAGTTTCTTAACTGGGCTGGCTTCGAACTGTGATACCCAGATACTTAGCCTCCTAAGTAGCCAGGATGATAGGCTGGAGCCACCAGAGCCCAGCTTGAGTCTCCTTTATATTTATAATATACTTCCCATATTGACAACAGCAAAGACCCGGTGATCTGGCTTCTGGAGCATTCTTTTTTGCTGGAAACTGTCATTTTTATTATTTCTAGTTTTTTGAAACATTATAAGAAAATACAAAAATACTGAACTGTAGCCAGGGGCCTAGCTACTCAACAGGCTGAGATCTGAGGATCACGGTTCAAAGCAAGCCAGGGACGAAGACTATGAGACTCTGATCTCCAATGAGCCACCAGAAAAACCAGAAGTGGAGCTGTAGCTCAAGTGGTAGAGCAGTGGCCTTGAGCCAAAAAAAAAAAAACCAAAAAACCCAAAAACCTGAGTGACAGTTCCCAGGCCTTGAGTTCAAGGCCAGGTTGGCACTTTAAAAAAGGTTAAAAAAAGTTTAAAAACAAGTTAAGACTTTCATGTGCTGTGGGTATATTCAGTAGACAAGAATATTTAAGAATCGCATATTTGTTATTTCATCCATTCACGATTTATGTTTTTTTCATCTAAGAAAGCCCCAGTTTCATGCAGACTCCATTTACACTTTGATTTCTTAAGTGAGATTATTTCTGTAAATGTCCTACTTGGTTTTGTTGTTGTTGTTGTTGTGTGTCATTCTTGGGGTTTGAACTCAGGGCCTGGGTGCTGTCTCCGAGCTTCTTTTGCTCAAGGCTAGTGTCCTACCACTTGAGCCACAGCGCCACTTCCAGCTTTTTCTGAGTAGTTTATTGGAGATAAGAATCTCATGGACTTTCCTGCCTGGGCTGGCTTCTAACCAAAATCCTCAGATCTCAGCCTCCTGGGTAGCTAGGATTAGAGGTGTGAGCCACAACACCAGGCCCTACTTGTATTTTGAAATAGCACATTAGCTCACTCATGCTAAACTTACCTAAGGAAAGCTTCAAAATGCTCAGCCTTATCCTCATATTACAAATGTTGGTTTAAAAAAGTTATCTCCGTCTGTTATTTGTTTATAGAATTTGTTCACGTGGAAAGGAGCCCAATGTCATATTTTTTTAACACAGCAGCTTTTTCTCATAGGCCCTTTGATGAAAATTACTCAATTCTAAAATTCTACTGAATGTAATGTAACCTTTCTTAGATGATTTTGAAGCCTCTTCAGGATGTGAACAGTGGCTCAGTGTAGTTTCTTTTTAATCAGTAGCCCTGGGTATGGGATACAGAAGGGATTAAAATTGCATTAGATGAATGTAATGACTGAACTGGGTCGTGGCCCACATGCCAGTTAGTGACTAAATCAACCTTTTTTTAACCTTTCCCTCCTTTCCTTCCCTCGAAATGAAATGAGTTACAAAGGCTATGTGCTATGTGCTGTGCTCGTGAACTGAAATTCACCTACATCAGAAATCACTGCATCCATGAAGGAAAGCTGCAGAACATCACACACCGAATGCACTTGTAGTCGACTCCGTACAGATACAAAGCCATCAAAGTACTTACGTTCGCAGCGCCGAGAAGGATTAACGTGGGGCCCAGACCTATTGTGTAGATGGATCTGAGCATTATGGACACGAGAAATGGTCGGAGCCCCATGGGCTTGGAGAGGAAGAACAGCATCGAGGTACAGATCGCAACAGCTACCCAAAGAAGGGCCGAGAACAATGGTGAAAGTGTGCCTGCAGCAGGGAGAAGTGAGTTTTTACTGAGAAGAAAACTGCAAAGTGGCCAGGCACCGGCAGCTCCCACCTGTGAGATCTGAGGATCACAGTGGAAGCCAGCCTGCGCAGGAAAGTCCGTGAGACTCTCATCTCCAGTGAACCACCAAAGACCAGAAGTGGCACTGTGGCTCAAAGTGATAGAATACCAGCCTTGAACAAAAGAGCTCAAAGACAGAATCCAAGCCCTGGGTTCAAGATCTATGACTGACCGGAAAAAAAAAAAAAAACAACCCTGAAAAATGGTCTGTACTCTCCATGCTACTGCAAGACAAACTGTAAAGCATGGAACTTGCAAAACAATGCATTTCCTTTTACGTATTTTTGTGTGTGCCAGTACTGGGGCTTGAACTCAGGGCCTTAAACTCTTACTTGGCTTTGTTGCTCAACTTTGGCCCTCTACCACTTGAGCCATACCTCCACTTCCAGCTTTTTTGCTGGTTTATTGGAGATGAAAGAGTCTTGTGGATTTTCTGCCTGGACAGGCTTTGAACCCTGATCCTCATGTCTAAGCCTCATGAACAGCTAGAAATAGGAATGAACCACCAGCAAGCATTCAGCAAAACCACCCCTCTGTACTGTGGATATTCTAAGGAAATGTCTTTGAAAGCGTTACTTATTATTAAATTTCCAGAAAGTTTGTGACTAATTTCAAGGCAACTTAAAAGACTAGCTAGTAGGCCAGGCATTGGTGTTTCACATGTGCAATCCTGGTTGTCAGGATGATGAGATATGAGGATCAAGGGTCAAAGCCAGGTTGGACAGTGGATACCCTCAGCTCTAATTAACCAGCAAAAAGCCAGAAGTCAGGGTCTAGCTCAAGTACTAGAGCACCAGCCTGAGATATAAAAGCTAAGGGAGTGCTGGGGCCCTGGGTATAATCCCAATGACTAGCACACACGCATGCACAGACACACAGACACAGACATGCACACACACACATACACACACACACACATTTTCTTGCTTAAAAAATAGGATAAGCCAAGCACTGGTGGCTCACACCTATAATTGCAGCTACTCAGGAGGCCAAAATCTGAGGATCACAGTTCAAAGCCAGCCCAGGCAGGAAAGTCTGTGAGATGCTTATTTCTAATGTGGCGCTGTGGCTTAGGTGGGGGAGCACCAGCCTTGAGCATGAAAGCGTGGAGGCCTGAAGGGTGAAGAAATGCAGCCGTGGTCCTCACTGGACACCATTTGGAAAATGAACTCTGCAATTGATGGGTGGAGACGGGAGGGAAAAACTGGGAGAGAGCAAGGGAAGGGGGACACTCCAAAAAGAAACGTATTCATGACCTGGCCTGTCACCTTCAGCCTCCTACACATCACCTTAATAATAACAAGTTAAAAAATAAAAACAAGCTCGGGGAAAGAACCCAAGCCCAGAGTTCAAACCCCAGACGGAAACCCAGACCCAGACCCAGAAGGCGGTGTGGTTCAGTGACATCTGCAGCGGCCGGCAGGAGGACGTTGGGTTCTGGCCGCGGCTCTGCTCCCTCCGTCATCCTGTAAGGAGACCCGGAGCTCTGTGAGGACACAGGCGGCTTCCCGTGCTTCCCTGAGCAGGGCCTCACCTGGGCCAGCACACTGTGGCCCTGAGGACACCAGTGAATTCAAGTCTCTCCCAAGAACTCACTTGCTCTCACACAAACTGTGAAGAGTTTCTCTGTCTCTTTCTCTCTCCCTGTCTCTCCCTGTCTCTGTCTCTCTCTCTCAAAACCATTCGCTATCTTGGGTTGTTTGTCCCATCTCTGACTCTGCTTGTGCCAGGGGAAATCCAGGCTGGAACACAGTGGCCATGGCAATCTTCAACTCCTGAGGAGACCTCCAGGACACTTCCAGCATCCACCGCAGCTGAATCAGCCTGGCAGGAATGAGCAAGACAGTCTAGACCCATCCGTCCAAGACAGAGGGGCCCTGCTGGCTGGCCTCGGTTCTTTACAAACTCCTTTCGAATTCTGCTCAATAGCAAGCTCCTGAAGGTGGATACTACTCTTTCGTTAATATTCTAAGCCAAGAATGAACCAGGTATCTGTTGTAATGACCTGGGAGCAAGAAAATCCCCAGAGGCACGGTTAAAGGTGACAAAGGAGTTCTTATTAGTCGGTCTGCAACTGGGCTACCTCAGAACTAGAAGCAACTGCAACCTCCAAAAGGAGGCAGGTTTAACTTTCTTCACTTTTCCTCCTTCCTTTTCCCGCAGACCGCATAGGTCTCTCTCCTCTCCACAGGCCTCTCTGCTCTCCACAGGCCTCTCTGCTCTCCACAGGCCTCTCTGCTCTCCACAGGCCTCTCTCCTCTCCACAGGTCTCTCTGCTCTCCACAGGTCTCTCTCCTCTCCACAGGTCTCTCTCCTCTCCACAGGCCTCTCTCTGCTCTCAGGCCTCTCTGGTCTCCACAGGCCTCTCTGCTCTCCACAGGCCTCTCTGCTCTCCACAGGCCTCTCTCCTCTCCACAGGTCTCTCTCCTCTCCACAGGTCTCTCTTCTCTCCACAGGCCTCTCTCCTCTCCACAGGTCTCTCTGCTCTCCACAGGCCTCTCTCCTCTCCACAGGCCTCTCTGCTCTCCACAGGCCTCTCTCCTCTCCACAGGTCTCTCTCCTCTCCACAGGCCTCTCTGCTCTCCACAGGCCTCTCTCCTCTCCACAGGCCCCTCTCCTCTCCACAGGCCTCTCTGCTCTCCACAGGCCTCTCTGCTCTCCACAGGTCTCTCTGCTCTCCACAGGCCTCTCTCCTCTCCACAGGCCTCACTCCTCTCCACAGGCCTCTCTCCTCTCCACAGGTCTCTCTCCTCTCCACAGGCCTCTCTCTGTTCTCCACAGGCCTCTCTGGTCTCCACAGGCCTCTCTGCTCTCCACAGGCCTCTCTGCTCTCCACAGGCCTCTCTCCTCTCCACAGGTCTCTCTCCTCTCCATAGGCCTCTCTCCTCTCCACAGGTCTCTCTGCTCTCCACAGGCCTCTCTCCTCTCCACAGGCCTCTCTCCTCTCCACAGGCCTCTCTGCTCTCCACAGGCCTCTCTGCTCTCCACAGGCCTCTCTCCTCTCCACAGGTCTCTCTCCTCTCCACAGGTCTCTCTTCTCTCCACAAGCCTCTCTCCTCTCCACAGGTCTCTCTCCTCTCCACAGGCCTCTCTCCTCTCTACAGGCCTCTCCACTCTCCACAGGCTTCTCCGCAGGCCTCTCCGGTCTCCACAGGCTTCTCCACGGGCCTCTTGGTTCTTCACAGGCCTCAGGCCTCTCCGCCTGGCTGCACCACTCTGGGAGGCCCCTCTCTTGCAGCCTCTTGTGGTGTGTCTTTCTCTCTGTATCCCTCCCCGGAGCAAGCAGCCTAAATATATCAGGTGTCTCCCCCCCCCCCCCCAGCGGCCAGCATGGATGGTGGTGACATCGGCATGGGGCAGGACTTCCCGCCCCTCTGGTTTTCACAATTTGCCAAGAAATTCTCAGTAGCTCTAAAGGTTAGCAGGCTGGAAAACACACCTGGAGGAAACACACACAGCCCAAACCCTGTGCCAGCCCATTCCATACTGGGCTAGATGACTTTGAGAAAAAGAGATTAAAGTCTGTGTGTTCATCTGAGATCTTTTACTGGTTATTGATTCAGGATGTACCATATTATTTCTTTGTGTGTGTGTATATGTCAATCCTGAGGCTTGAACTCAGAGCCTGGGCACTGTCTCTGAGCCTCTGTGACAAGGCTAGCACTCTACCATTTTGAGCCACAGTTTCACTTGCAGCTTTTTAGTGCTTCATTGGAGAGAAGAGTCTTACAGACTCTCTTGCTCAGGCTGTCTTTGAACCACAATTCTTAGATCTCAGTCTCCTGAGTAGCTGGGATTATAGGCATAAGCTACTGGCACCCGGCTAGTTTCTCTTAATTTAGGCATTTATCTCATCTTTGGCTTTCATATGTTTCATAAATTTGAAAAACACTCTTCTACTATCTTGTAGAATGACACATTTGGGGTCTGTCTGAAATTTCCCAAATTGAAATTACGCCAAATTTTTTTGGCAGAGTCCTGGCTAGAGCTATGTATCAGGATTCAATGATTACTTCATTAAAGCAATTTCTCTATTTCAAAACTACTCCTTGTCCTTTTCTTAATAGGTAAATATATTGTGAGGAGATGCTTTAAGACTACAGTCAATCTCTTCATGTTTTTCATTATGTGATCAACCATTATTTTAGTATCTGTTGATGAGTCTGACAACTGTGGTATTTGTCAAATGGCAACAATCTATTTCCATTATTGCTCACACAGTTTATTAACTAGAATACAATTATTAAAAAACAAAAATCTCTCAGCTAAGCACAGGTAGCTCATGCCAGTAAGTTTCTCAGGAAGCTGAGGTTTTAGGATTACAGTTCAAAGCCAGGCTGAGGATATAAGTAAATAATACTCTTACCTCCAATGAACTAGCAAAAAGCAAAACTTGGAGGTGTGGCTCAAGTGGTAGAGAACCAGCCTCAAGTGAAAAAGACAAGCAAGAGAGCAAGGCTGTGAGTTCAAGTCCTACTATTGGTGCACACACACGCACACACGCACGCACATGCACATGCGCACACACACACACACAAACGGAAGTCTCTCGTCTGGACGCTCTGTGTAATTTCAGGATTGCTTTAGAACACTGTGCTATGCATCCTGTGAGGAAGGGTGAGCTCTTACCTTCATCTCCATCATCTCCAAATGGGTAGAACAGGGCGACAGCGAGATTGATGAACACGGCCAGGTTGAAGGAAATGCTTCCCCACAGGGAGATGTGCCTCGAGAACCAGAACAGGGTGGGGTTACCTGAGAAACAGCCAGGGCGGGGCCAGGACAGAAAAGAAACTTTCATTTCAACTCATGGTGTACTGAATGCAGCTTCATGCACTGTAAGAAAACACTTCCAGGAACATCAACGGTGGCTTACGTAGGAAAGTTTCTTAAAATTAATCACTTCTGCCAGGCACCAGTGGCTCACACCTGTGATCCTAGCTACTCAAGAGGTTGAGATCTGAGGATCCTGGTTTGAACCCAGACAGGAAAGTCCGTGAGACTCCTATCTCCAGTGAACCACCAGAAAACTGAAAGTGACACTGTGGCTCAAAGTAGTAGAGCACTAGCCTTGAGCAAAAAGAGCTCAGGGACAGCATCCAGGCCCTGAGTTCAAACCCCACAACTGACCAAAGTAATAATAATAATAATAATAACTTTTGTATTGCTTTTCTATCTGACTCCTTCTTAATCCTATGTCCACTTTTCTGGCTGTTGTTTACTTTTATTTATTTATTTTGGGGGATGGATAGTAGGGCTTGAATTCAGGGCCTACCTGGGCTCTGTCCCTGAGGTTTTCTTGCTCAAGGCTGGTGCTCTACATTGAGCTACAACACCACTTCCAGCTTTTTTGCTAATTAATTGGAGGTAGGAGTCTCCTGAACTTTTCTGCCCAGGCTGGCACCAAACCATGATCCTCAGGTCTCAGACTCCTGAGTAGCTGAAATTATAGTCATGAGCCACCAGTGCCAGACTCAGAAAAGATACTTCTATAGTAATTTCCTCTTATGTGTCCCCAGAGCTAATGAGGACCCAGTTTAGCAGCTGCCTATGACTCCTTTTAGTAAAATGGTGTCCCTGTATCCATGGTAACATGACCTCTAAACTGGCTGTAATCCCATGCTTTAAAGACAGAAATTACTAGCAAAGGTGAGCTGCTCATAAGAATTCCTGTAACAGGAAGAGACTCCGTGGGGGAGGGGGGAGGGGGAGAAAAATGAGGGGGGGGGTAACAATGTTTGGCAAGAAATGGACTCATTGCCTTACATAACAGTGATCCCTCTGTACATCACCTTGACAGTAACATTAATTTTTTGTTGTTGTTGGTCAGGGGCTTGAACTCTGGGCCTGGGTGCTGTCCCTCAGATCTTCAGCTCAAGGTGAGTGCTTTACCACTTGAGCCACAGCACCACTGGTTTTTGTGGTTTTCTAGTGGTTTACTGGAGATAAGAGTCTCACAGACTTTCCTGCCAGGGCTGGCTTTGAACTGCGACCCTCAGGTCTCAGCCTCCTGAGTAGCGAGGATGACAGGCGGGAGCCACCAGCGCCTGGCAAAATTAAAAAAATACTTTCAACTGAAAAAAAATTCCTATAACACAAATTCTCATGGAAATCTGAGTCTCAGCACTGGAGCACAGAACTGCTTGCCGGGAGCTGCTGATTTATGATGTTTGTCCACTTCCAATTGTAACAGTTTGCCAACAACCTGGTGGGTTTGGAAGAATTCACATCTGGGCTCTGTGTCGCGCCTGTCATCCCAGCCACTTGGGGCTGAGATCCGAGGGCCACAGGATACACCCAGTGTGGCAAAAAGGTCTGGGAGACTCTTAGCTCCAATGAGCCAGCAAAAAGCTGGGAGTAGAGCCGTGGTTCAAGTGACAGAGCACTAGGCTTGAGCACAAGAAGCTCAGAGACAGCGCCCAGGCCCAGGGTTCAAACTCTAGAAAACACACAGGTTTACATGGCTTGCTGTCATGTATCTAATGTGCTGAGCTACTACCATTTACGCACAAACCCATGGCTTCAGCTGGATGAGTACACTCACTCCTGATTTTCTTCTGCCACTTCATCTCGTTGTAGAGATCCTCCGTTTGCTGGAAGAAGTCGTTCACCTTGCTTCCTTGCTCATCCCGCTCTGTCGTGTTGAACACGCGGGACTTGGACTCTCGCGTGAGGAATTCACAGATGCTGGGCACAGGGAAAACTATCTGCTCCATGGTCCGGTCAGGCCGAACAATCTGAAAACATCCATTCATTTATAGTTGATAAACTGATTTTCAGTAATATCAGTTATCATAATTATGTTCCATTCACCCTGCGAAGCGGGGGGGGGGGGGGGGTTGTTTGGGTGCTACTCCTGAGGCTTGAACTCAGGGCCTGGACACTATTCCTGAGAACACTTTCAATTAACTAGCACTCTACCATTTGAGACATAGCTCCCTCCACTTCTGGCTTTTTGTTTTGTTTTGGTGTAATCGGTTGTGGGGCTTGAACTCAGGGATTGGGAGCTGTTCCTGAGCCTTTTTGTGCTCAAGCACATGTTACCACTTGAGCCACAGCTCCACTTCCATTTTTTGAGTGGTTCATTGGAAGGACTTTCGTGGCCAAGTTGGCTTTGAACCGTGATCCTCAGATCTCAGCCTCCTGAGTAGCTAGGATTACAGGCATGAGCCAGTGGTGCCCAGCTCACTTCTGGGTTTTTGATAGTTACTTAGAGAAAGGAGTCTCCACGGTCTTTCGTGCCTGGGCTGGATCTGAACCACAATCCTCAGATCTCAGCCCCTTGAGTAGCTAGGATTGCAGGTGTGAACCAATGGCATATGGCCCATCTTGTTTAGGTTTTATAAATACAAGGATGTAAATATAAACACCTGATCCTGTGTCACGTTGGAGAGTTGATGTACATGAAGCTCACAGTATTTCATTGTGATCAATATTGGTAAATTACTACAGGCTGGAAGTGGGGAGGGGAGAGTCACTGAAGGGCACCTGTGAGCTGTACTGTGGACAAACACGAGAACTAGTGTCTGTGGAGAACTTGTGGGCACCAAAGCCTTTTAACATTCAATAACTTCTCTTTAGAAGTTATTATGGCAGGTAATTGGTTATAATCTATCAGAACCAACTAATGAGACTATGCAATCTAGCCAGGCATAGGGGCTCATGCCTGTAATTCGAGCTGCTCAGGTAGGCTGGATGCTCACATAGGAAGGTCTCCCTGGCCTGTCTGCTCTGTCTGTGTCGTTGGGCACCTCTCTCCTGAGCTCTCAAAACAACAGCCAAACAACTCAAAAGCTTGACGGTTTTCACAGCAAAATCCGCCCAGCACTCTGGGGCAGTAACGGAGAGTATGGAGACCACTGCAGGGGCAGTGTGTACAGCCACTCTGAGTGTCAATAGCCATGGTCTCTGCCCACAAAGCCTTTCTTTAATATTCTCGCATTATAATAATATGCTCATCTTCCAAATAATCCCACTGTGCCAGGATATTTCTCCCTTACCAAGCTCTCGTTGCCTGAATCAACTAAAGACAATTTGAGGACAAGACTAGGATCTTTCTGAATATATATATGTATATATATACATATATATATATATATAGTGTATGTATGAGAGAGAGAGCATGCATGTGCACACATCACACGTGTACTGGACATGAACAGCATTTAGGTGCTGCCCTTAGCTTTTTATACTAAAGGCCGATGTTCTACCACTGGAGCCATAGCTCTACTCGTGGCTCTTGGTGGTTCATTGGAGATGAGAATCCCATGGACTTTTCTGCTAAGGCTGCTTTGAACCTCAATCCTCAGATCTCAGCCTTCTGAGTAGCTCGGGTTATGGGTGTGTGCCATCAGTGGCCATTTTGAATGTTTTTAGATATTCAATTGCAATGCTGCCTTTTCTTGTGAAGTTAATGAATTTCTTGCATTCCTTTGCCCTGAACCACAGGAAGATAAATAAAAACTTAAGCACAATGATCATGAGTCAAATTGTATTTATTCCATGCTTATAAAAGGCAAGGAAAAGCCGGACGCTGGTGGCTCATGCCTGTCATCCTAGCTACTCAGGCGGACGCTGGTGGCTCATGCCTGTCATCCTAGCTACTCAGGAGGCTAAGACCTGAGGATCACACAGTTCAAAGCCAGCTTGGGCAGGAAAGTCTGTGAGACTCTTATCTTCAATTAACCACCAGAAAATCGGATGTGGCACTGTAGCTCAAGTGGTAGAGCACTTGCCTGGAGCTGAAGAGCTGAGGGACAGCACCCAGGCCCAGAGTTCAAGGCTCAGGACTGAACCAAAAAAAAAAAAAAAAAAAACCAGACAAGGAAGTCCACCATCCTAACTTTTCAATATTCCAGGTCATCTTGAAACATTCCCAATAATTAATCTTAATATAATATATATACATTTTTGTGTGTTAGTATTAGGGACCAAACTCAAAGCCTGGGCACTGTTGCTGAGCATTTTCCCTCAAGATTGGCCCTCTATCTATCAATTAAGCCACAGCCTGACTCCTAGCATTTTGCCAGTTCCCTGAGGATGAGAATCTCATGGACTTTCTTGCTTGTGCTGGCTTTGGACTATGATAGTTAGATCTCAGTCCACTGTGAAATAGGGATTTTGGGATGGGCCACAAGGTCCAGCTTCAGTATATTTTAATAGATACACACTCTTTTAGAATTCTTGCCTGGGGATTATTAGTAGCCTCTTTCCTGCAAGTCTTTTGCAGTCTTCACCTGAACCTGCCTTAAAACCCATTCTTAACAAGTTACATGAAGATCTCCTTTTGTGCTGAGCTCTAACAATTCATTGATATTCGGACAAAAGCCGTCATATTCCAGCTGAGATTCAGGCGTGAGCCACCAGCACCTGGCCAGCTGAACCCTTTCTCCAAGAGTCTCCTTTTGAAGCCATCCAGTGATTTGCCTTAGCAAAACGTGGCCACCAAAGTTTCTTCCTCAGACCACGATGAAAAGAAAGAAATTCCAGCCACGCAGTGCTGTCTGTAGTTCAGTCGAGATGTCACCCGTGGATCCAGCAGACAGTGTTTCTGCCATCCCCGAGCCTTCGGCCGCTTGGCTCCTCCACCCTCCATGGCCCTGGGAGCAGGTGGCCCCCACTTGCACTGAGCGCGTGAGCTGTGTTCAAGCTGCTTGTCTTTTTGGCTGCTGCTTCTCCACCATAAAAAGACAGTTACCAGTCGTTCTTGGAGCTCAGCCACTTTGTAAACAATAGGCACCGTTCAGCTCCTCCTTTCAAGTCTTCTTTTCAGAGAGGAGAAAGGACCCCAATGAGAGAGGCCAGTCACGCTGTCCCCCTGCGTTCAGCGTGGGGACAAGGGACGGCTCCCGTGGGGATGTGGCAGCCCAGGAAGCCTCTGCTTGTTCTCCCTTTGTTCTGTCATCTGGGGAGGAAAAGACACAGGGCATTCAGGGTCTGAGCGCCGCCACTGAGCTTTTGTGCTGAAGACTAGCGCTCTACCACCCGAGCCACAGCTCCACGTCTGGCTTTGTTTTTGTGAGATTAACTGGAGATAAGAGTCTCACAGACTTTCCTGCACAGGCAGGCTTAGAACCTCCATCCTCCAATCTCAGCCTCCTGAATAATCTGGATTTCAGGGTGAGCCACCGGTGGTTTCTTTGGTGTAACTTAGAATCCTCAGAGATGCCATCAAGCCTCCTGGACCTCCCGGGCCCCTGGTGCAAGGTGGGGGAGTCTCCTCTCCCTGGCTCCCCACCAGAGGCCCGGCCCCCACCGGAGGCCCGGCCCCCACGGGAGGCTCGGTCCCTGGTGCCCAAGCCCCTCACTCACTCCACCCCTGCTCCTTGAGCTCGGCCAGCTGGCTTGACAGCTGCTTCACTGGGCTCATGGTGGCCTGCGGCTCCTCTGCGGGTTCTGACTTTCATTGGGCTCACTCTTGCCTTTGCTGCTGACAAGAGACATGGCTCACATCGGAGGAAACCAGTATACATCCTTCCCCCCTCCCCCCCCAAAAAGCAAAAAAACATGCAGAAATATCAGAGGAAAACCTAAGAGATGCCCTTGCTGGGGCCTGAGTTAACTAGAAGGCCCCCGACTTCGTACCTGCCTCCTGCGATCTGAGATGACCTCTGCTGCAGCCCCTTTGCTATTTCACAAGCTACACAAAATTCTAGGAGCAGCATCTCCTGTGGCAGGCAAACTTCCCCTTACAAGCCATGCCTCCTGAGCATCTCAAAGCAAACAGCCCAAACTCAGGAGCTCACCTAGCTCCTGCTCCATCCTGGGAATCAAGGACAGCGATCCCACAGATCTCCTCCCAGGACAAAGGCTGCATCAAAGACTGCGATGGTCACTCTGCAGACCTTTCCCACCCAGTCCCCCCACCCCACCCCCAATTCTCCCTGTTGAACCTGAAGCCCGTGTCTGCACCCTGAAGACGCTGAAGACGTCCTCAGGCGCTGTCGGCCCCCGGCTGCCCTGAATCCACCTCCTTTCTCTGTCCTTCACCAGCTCTCTCTCTTTGGCCTATGGGGGAGAGTCGTTGACACCAATGTAAGACTGCTTCAGAAACATGGGAAAGAGAAAGGAGCCATGGAAGGAAGAAGCCTGAAAATATAGACTTACATTACTGCCTCTCTCTGTCTCTGTCTCTATCTCTCTGTCTCTCTGTCTCTGTCTATCTCTCTGTCTCTGTCTCTGTCTCAGCCTCTGTCTCTGTCTCAGCGTCTGTCTCTGTCTCTCTGTCTCTCTCTGTCTCTATCTCTCTGTCTCTGTCTTTTTGCCTCTGTCTCTCTGTCTCTGTCTCTGTCTCAACCTCTGTCTCTCTGTCTCTCTCTGTCTCTATCTCTCTGTCTCTGTCTTTTTGCCTCTGTCTCTCTGTCTCTGTCTCTGTCTCAGCCTCTGTCTTTCTGTCTCTCTCTCTCTGTCTCTGTCTTTCTGCCTCTGTTTCTCTGTCTCTCTATCTCTGTCTCTCTCTCTGTCTCTCTGTCTCTGTCTCTGTTTCTGTCTCTCTGTCTCTGTCTCTCTGTCTATGTCTCTGTCTCTCTGTCTCTGTCTCTATCTCTGTCTCTTTCTCCTAGCTACATACTGATCGTGACAGTAGTGGGATATGAACTCAGGGCCTCACACTCTTGCTCATCTTTTGTGCTCAAGGCAGGTGCTCTACCACTTGAGTCACACCTACACTTTTGCCTTTTTTTCTGGTTCATTGGAACTAAAAGTCTCTGGAATCCTCATCTCTCAGCTACCTCAGGAGCCAGGATTATAGGCGTAATCCTTGTGTGTCATTGGTACAGTGTGTAAGCCATGCCCTCGGGTGGCTCTGTCTAGATGCGGGGTAGATCCAGGGTGCGGGGATCAAATGGTTTGACCCTGGTGTCCAGGGGCTGGGGGAGAGACCTCAGACTTTCACACAGGTGTGTGGTGGGACTTCCAGCACGGTCCCAGAGGAAACATCTATGATAGAGAATGGGGCTGAAGCATGAGGTAGAACCTGAGGGCCCGAAGAAAATAGATCCAAGTATTTGGGGGTACAGCAGAGGTATGCACGGCGTCTTTGTTCCCCTGGCATGAGAGAAAGGGCTTCTAGAATAGGAGGGTGGTCAAGAAAGGTTTCCGCCCCCACCAACACAGGCTGCTCCCCAACTTCCTCCATAGGTGCTCCTGCGGCTTGCAGCTCCCTTTGTTCCCAGGGAAGAGGAGATGGCCGGCCCCGGGGTGCCCTCTCTGCTTCCCACAGAAGCAATGACTTGTCCACACAGCCACTGCTTATACCACTTCTGTTTTTCTAAGCAAACTGTGTGTATGTGTGTGTGTTCACACACGTGCATGTACTAGTCCTAGGACTTGAACTCAGGGCCTAAGCGCTGGCCCCGAGCTTTTCTGCTCAAGCTTAGCATTCTGCTAGTTTAGCACAGCTCCCCTTCTGGAATGTTGTTGGTTCCTTAAAGATGAGTCTCACAGACTTTCCAGCCCAGGCTGGCTTCGACCTGTGATCCTCAGCTCTCAGCCTCGAGTAGCTACAAGTATAGGCATCCATTTCTTCCTTTTTTTTTTTTTTTTTTTTTTTAATGTTACTATAAAGGTGATGGACAGAGAGACCACAGTGCCGTAAGTCAGATCATAAGTACATTTCTTCTTGGACAATGTCCCCCCTTCCCGTGCTCTCTCCCAGTTGTTCCCTCCGGCCCCCACCCACCAGCTGCAGAGTTCACTTCCCTTATCATGTGCAGTGAGCACCCTTTGTACTTCATTTCTGTGTCACTGTCTACCCTCCCGAAGACAGATAAATGACCATACAAGACAAAAACAACAACAGCTACAGAAACCTCTTGTTTCCATTTCCTGGAGTTAATTTTGATAAATATTATTCTGTCTGATCAGAGGCACAGAGGGTTTTTCTCTAAGAGTATTATACACATCCATTTCTTACCTTACATTTCCCACCCTTTGGAAAGCTCTTCAAGTTAAATAAAACCGTCACCACTGAGGACAAAATGGATCTGCCCCATTACAGGTGGTTAAAGTTGAGAGTGCAACAGGTGAATTATGAATTGATAACAGCAAGTGAGCGTGTGGCTGGAGGTGAAGTCTTCGCATCACGTGTGGCTCTGTGGTCTGTCTCCGCCCTTCTGCCCATTGGCTTCACCAGTCATCTCCCCGTCCCCGGTGGTATGTATAGGAGCAGAGGAAGGCCTGGTGCTAAGATTAGGTCCTTAGGCCCTGTCTATGGATGGCTGGGCCTTTGTGGTGAATTCTAGTTTGAAGGTGACTCAGTAAAGGTTTACACATCACAGATGAAAGTTAAGACACCTGCCAGAGTTTCATTGCTGCCATTAAACAGCTGTGTCTCCTTAGCATTTTCCCCTCTGGATTGCTAGGTTGGGGAACTCCATCTCAGCACCTCCAGAAATGTATTTAAGGATGAAAGGTAGATAGGACTTGGCTCTGCACTCTGTGATAGTGGCTCACATCTTCTCAGGAGACTAAGATTGGGGGACCACAATTCCAAGCCAGCTCAGGCAGCTCATGTTTAAGCCTGGAGATTCTATTAAATTCTATTAAATATTTTGTTGGCAAAAGTATTTGTTTTTAAGCTTTTGTTGCTTTGGCATTGACCATGTGGTTCTATCACACATTGGGGAAAAATGCCTTTGCCACTGAAATTCCAGAACATTATGGCCAACTTGTGTTTTTAAAACCCAGGTGTAGGAAATGGACTTTTTAACCTTGCTCATGTAACTGTAACCCCTCTGTACAGTATTAGCAAAATGAATCCCTTTCCATAGCTTAGTCCATTCCTTCCCCTCTCCACAGCTCAGTACGCTCCCTTCCTAGGCAACACCAGACCCATGTGATAAAGTCAGTAAATCATCAGCCTCCAGCCCCCGTACCTTGGGATGGCACTCCTCTAGGGTAGCTACCACCCTAGAAGGCCGCCAGAGCCCCTTAGAGTGACTTCAGGTCTGGGCAGCTGCAGGACCCTTGTCTACTATACATCCTAGTCCGCCATGATGAAGCCCCTGGCCCGCACGTCCACACCAGGGTCTCCACCTCCTGGCCCCTCCCAGCCCCTCCTAACCCCCTAGGTTATATAGGTCACCCCAGACAATAGCTGGTGCTTCTTCTCACTTCTCCCTTGTGAGAAGGGGTCTTGCTGGTCCCCCTTTCCTGGCAATAAACCTGTTCATTGTTCTTTGTACCTGAATGTCTGCATGCTTCTCTGGCAAAGTCTGACTAATCTAATTGAGCTAACAAGTATCTTTACCAAAAAACAAAACAACTCTAAGCATGACTCAAAACGTTTGTGCCCAAGTAAGTATGTGTGTGTGTGTGTGTGTCGTGAACTTGCTGAAAACAACCTCATTTTAATGCATAAAAACTCATCATGGTGTGAGAAGAAGTCTTTTTTACCAAACTAGAGTGTTTCTGTCATATCTTTGCTTAACTGGCTCTGCAGGCCAACAGAAAAAACGTGAGCTTTAAAACTCAAACCACGAAGAAGCTCAGAAGATTGGGCACCTTACAAATGTGCCAGAGCTTTCCACTTATGTGAGTGCTCATGTAATGGCAAGCGTGTAAAGCGTTGCAGGACTACATCAAAGCTCATTCTGTTTGTTTACGTCAAGGTCCTTCAAATAAGAACCTTTTATTTCTTTACTGAGATTAAGTGAGAAGTAAATTTCACAGTATTGTGTGTGTGTGGGGGGGGGTGGTCTTACCTAAAGTCACAGACACATTTTAACCATTGTCACGGTCTACAAAGCTTAGGAACGCTACAAACTTTGACACTACACCTATCTTTTCCAAGTCGGGTGATACGTACATTTCTTTCCTTCTGCTCAGTGTCAGCCATTCCCTCGTTCTTGCTCATCCCCTCCCTCCCATCGCTGTCCTCGAGTTGCTTAGTTCACGTTCATCAAGGTCCGGTGCAGCCGATGGACTCCTGTGTTGTATTTTTTCATCCATTGCCCTCTGGTGCTTTGCCCTTCTCCTGGCTTCCCTCAGGTGTGCAAGTATATATACCATGAGGTCAGGAACATGGAATCATCTAACAATGATGCAACAAATTAAGAAGAGGTCCTTTGCTTCTTGAGTCCTGTTTATGTTGTCCTATCTTGTTGCACTTCGAATTTAACATCTGCATATCAGGGAGACCATGTGCCGTTTGTCTCTCTGATCTTGGCTTATTTCACTCAACATGATTTCTTCTAGTTCCATCCATTTCCCTGCGAATGCTATTATTTTGTTTTTTCTAATGGCTGCATAATATTCCATTGTATATAGGTACCACAGTGATTGGATCCATTCACCTGTAGTGGGGCATCTGGGTTGTTTCCATAGCCTGGCTATTGTAAACAGTGCTGCAATGAACATGGAGGTGCACGTGTCCTTGTATCCTGGCTCCTGTTGCTCAGGATAGATACCTAGGAGTGGTATGGCTGGGTCATAGGGGAGGTCTATACTTAGCTTTCTGAGGACCCTCCAGACTGCTTTCCAGAGTGGTTATATTAGTGTACATTCCCACCATCAGTGCAGTAGTGTTCCATTTCTGCTAGGTTTTCCTTGTTTAGTGAATAAAGGTTCTGGAAATAGTTCTTTATGATCATTTTGATGTCTTGGATGTTTGTTGTAATTTTTCCTGTGGCATCCCTGATCTTGTGGATTTGGGTCTCCTCTCTTCTTTTTTTACTATGATGTGTCTAGAAGTGTTCCTCCTGGATCCTGTTTGCTAGGTGTTCTGTATACTTCTGATATGTAGGTGAAATTTTATCTTTTAAGATTAGGGAAATTTTAGGTAATAATCTTGTTGAATAAGTATTGCATCCCTCTATTCTGTATCCCTCTCCTCCATCAATTCCAGTTATACAAAGTTTGAATTTCTGGGCATTGTCTGCCTGTTCTTGGACTTCTCTTTGGTAAGTTCTGAGTATTTTCTCCAAATCTATGACTTTTTCTCCAGCTGCTGCATTTTGTCTTTGGCTCCTGATATTCTAGTTTCCATCTCATTCATTCTGTCAACTATG